TGACTTTTGCTTGGGATGAGGAAAATAGTTTTGAGGTTGTGCAGCTGTTTGATTTCCTGACCCATGCCATTTTTTTCAAATATGTTCGACTGTATTGTTGCAGGTGCCCAACCCTTGGACTAGGGCCTGGTTCAAGTCAGTCGGGAGGGTTTGATTGAATAACAGCAGTTTTGCCCAGCAAATCCATGATTACAGATATCTTCGGCAGAAGGCCTCTCTCCACTACATACAGTTCAAACATATGTATATAAATCTAGTAAAAAAAAATATAATTAAAGAGAGTGGGACGCCACCAGGTCCCCCAAAATACGTGGTTTTAAGCGTGTTTTTTTGACTATTTTATGTTTTTTTTCCTCTTTTGATCATATATGAAAAATCAAAGTTATTGGGAGATGTACTGTTTTTGGTTTGTTAATCCTCAGCTCTATTCTTAGCTGCTTGTTTTTTGTAACTCTATTGTTTTTTGATAGGTGGTCTTAGTGCATGAATGGCAATGTTCTTTGCCCAACAACATCTTGAAACATAGAGATTCATTGTGTCAGTTGGTACTTCATGTATATATTAATGTATAGGTACTACCTGGGTATACAGCTATTGCAAAGACCGTATATACATACATATACATAGCACTTTGTATTTGCATTGGTGGTTTTTGATATTGGATTGCAAGGTCATTTTTTTTGGCTGACATCATAGTTCCAGTGGAACTCTTTTAGCAAATGAAAGTGCAAATTCCAATCTACTCTCCCTCCTCAAGTAGTTGCATTTGTTTGGCATACTTCATGGTAACTTGCTGCATCAATGCACAAGCAAGGCAGCCATTCTATAGATACAGTTGTTTGGTAAGGTTGCTTAAGTGTTTCCTTTACTTGGTCTTGTGCCCTTCTGGTTACCATGATGAACTTATACTGACATAGTTTATGTTTTGCCCATAGCCTTGAGTACATTTATGGTAATAAAATGTCTGCCGTTATATTTGCAGTGACACAGCAAATTACCATGGAATATGCAGGTAAAAACGCCTTTTCTGAAGCAAGGGGGAAATGAAAGTGCCCCTGGAATTTGCCAACTCTTGTGATCAATCGATATTTTAAGCCAAGACCTTTTACTGCATTGAAACCTGGAAGAATACCATTGCATATGCAGGAAAAATGTAGAAAACTTGTGCCTGTAAGAGCATAGGTGACTTATATGCCACCCATTCCATAACTGTATGTACTATATAAGAAAAATGTATATATAAAATAGTTGCATTCTAAGTGCAAATGCAGCTTGGATGTGTTGACACAGCAAATGGCTATGGTATCTGCAAAAAAAAGTTGCTTTTATCACAAAATACCCTCTAGATATCAGTGCATGTTCGAAGCTGCCATTTCTACTGTATATATACTGATGCTGCACACTTGTGACAATGCGCTTGCATACTGGTTGAAACCATTCACCCACTAAAGCACAAACAACCCCTGAAACTTTTCATACAGTTTATAGATCAAAGAATTAAGAACAAGAGTGAGTATTGATCAAAAGGATGGAGAAGGGACCCCTTTCCATATGAATGCATTCTGGGAGCTGCTACTTCCTAGTCCAATGTGTTGTATCATAGCTGTTTTCTGTCAAGTTTTATAAACAGTCTTACCTCTTTTTAGGTGTTACTCATCCTGCCATAAAAGATCATAAAAGCACAGCCAAGCAATTATGGTAACAGGGTACCTGGATTAGATATGCAGTGGCATAGCAAATTACTGAAATATGCAGGAAAACATATTTTTGGAGAAAGGGTAAGTTGTAGCTGCCCTTACCATGTGCCAACTCTTACAAGCAAAGTCAGTTGCAACCAAAGAGTCTTTATTGCAGTCAATCCTGGAAGAATTCCATTGCATATGCAAAGTACATGTGGAAAATGTGTGTACGTATTGCTATGCGCTACTTATGTAGCATCCATATCATAGATGCATACAGTAGTACTACTACAAGCAAAATGCAAGTCCATCAATGTATATAGGAGGGCTATATATAGGAGGGCTAGGAGAGGGGGGAAGCTCATTAAAAAAAAAACAATGGCTCCCTTTCCTTGGCCACCTCTCCCCTAAGGTATACACACACACACTATGTTTGTTTTTCCTCCTGCCTTTTCCCTGGGGATCTTCATGATTCTCTGGACATTCGTTGGCAACCTTTGGCAACCTGCCATCAGGGAGAGGTTATGTACATAGGAGGGCTCGGAGAGGGGAGAAGCTCATTTTTTTGTTTTTTTTCCTTGGCCACCTCTCCCCCTAAGGGAAGCCATATATAGATACACACACTATGTTTGTTTTCCCTCCTTCCTTTTCCCTGGGAATCTTCATGACTCTCTGGACATTCTTTGGCAACCTTTGGCAACCCATGAGGAAGTCTGACACACTGTGTGGATCTCTAGCACTACCATCACAGGTATATGAACATAAATTATCGAATATGATGTAGAAAAAACACTGCATTCCCAGAAACGTGGAAAAATGGGGACCTGACAGCGTACTTTTCTGTAATTATATATATATAAGGTGTATACAGTGTGTAAATACATACACATATATATACTGCATATACATGTACATGATATTATCTTGAACATATTTCAACCGACACAGGCCAACAAAAAATTAGCAGGGTCCCAACCCATAGCCCATCCAACAGCAGAACCTGCTAAGATCCTGATCACAAGGCCTCCCCAGAACATAGAATCTGTGGACTCCAACCCACCAAAAACCCTCACACACAAAACGGGGGAGCACCCACGGGGGTTGTGTAAACATATGTAAACCTTACCAACTTTTTAGGTGCAAGTTCTGTTGACGAAATTTCCAGGTAGGATCTATGTTTGAACATTCTGAGTAATTACCGACTTCGGCCCAAAAGAGAATTTTGAAAAGACTAGCTGCTGAGAGGGAGTTGACCAGCAGAATGATATGAAGCTACGGAAGGGCCACAAAGCTATAGCACATGATTGATCATGTTTTTTCAAAGGGAATGTAATCGCCAGAAGCTAGTCTCTCCATTCTGACCGCCATGCTCACAAACAAGTTATATAGCAATTTTACGGAGCGAGACATCACCAAGAATGGGACTGAATAACCTCTGGAATTTAACAATGGAAACTTGCCAAATTTAGTACAACGATGTACCTGTGATTTTCCCGTTTCGCAAAGTATCAACATTCAAAGGGCACATGTTGTTTTCAACATGTTTTTTCTTCTCCAGCACGCTGTCAAGTTGCAAGACCACCGTATAAGTAGCCCATGAAGCCTCCGCCAGACATCAGGCCTCGGGTTTTCCCGGCTCCCACTGGGACGCTGCTCCAGCTGCAGCTGAAGCACTGCATTGTTGACCCTGGAGCCAATGGCTATCTTTCCTCAGCGCCAGCACATCACAGATGAATTTGGTGAAATCCAAAATGACCATCTGATTGGTGGTTTCAACCCCAAAAATATTACTCAGTTGGGGTTACTATTCCCAATATATGGAAAAATAAAGCCATGTTCCAAACCACCAACCAGCCATCAGTTCGGTTTCAGGAGGAAACCAATACAAGTGGGAATATGGACCACCAAGAATACGTGAGGATATTGAGAAACACATAGAAACACGTAGATCTCATTCTCCTGCAACGATTCCGATGATTTGCTGATTTGCAATTTGCAGTACCTTTCCAAGAGTGTGAACACATCCAATGCCAATAAATCCCTGAAAAAGACAATTTCCAGATCCAAAGAATCATCTTCCTGGACAATCCAAACCACATTCTTGGGGTCTCAGGTTGGTTTTGAGGAGGGCATCAGCCTATCATTTTGCAAATAATGAGTAACCACTTCAAGATCATTCACATATTTATAAACTTGCAGAAACCCATCTCGAGAACTTAAGATACTGATTAACCACTCAATAAGATGATACGGGGATGGCATGTTCAGCAGCAGCAGCAACAACAACAACAGCAACAACAACAGCAACAACAACAACAACAACTACTACTACTACTACCACTACCACTACCACTACCACTACCACTACTACTACTACTACTACTACTACTTGGAAGGAAACATGCTGAAGATCTTGAGTACAATAACAAATGCCCTAAATATCCCAAATCAATAGCCCCTACCAGTGGTGATATATCATGTATCGTGATTATCACCCCCCTATAAATAAGTCGATCCCCTATGATCCCCTATTATAATAATGATGATTTAGATATTCCATATGTCATAAAGCCCCAAAACAAATCGAAGACCCGGCATGGACGGCGCCAGACAGTCCAAGTGTCTGCGCCTCTCCATCGATCCGTACCAGGTTGGGGCGCACCGGCTTCACTGGCTTACGGTGGCTGTAAATCCTGGATGTGAAAGGGATCCAAGTTGATCCAAGATCCACGAGCCATGTGGACCATACATATATATATATATATATACATACATATATATATACAATACGTATGGTATGTATAACATGCATATATATATATACATATATATATATAATAAGATTGATTAGACATGTATATGTAAATTTGTTATGTAGATTGATGCAGGGGAGCCATGTAAGTTGAGCATGATAGAAGGTTATCATGACTTTCTAAGGGAACCAAGGCCGGGATAGCCATGATACTCGAGGAAATGGCCGCCTCGTGGGTGGCATCATCGCACGATACTAGCACTAATTAAATGGAATAGCAGGGAATCAACATACTGATTCCAAAAAAAAAAACAGATTCCACAAAAAACAAACATCCCACTATTTCGGGAAGCTCCCGACCACTGCCGACATCAACCGACCACGGAAACAAGTGGCTTTTTCCAGGTGTCCCGATGCGCATAGCCTGGAGCTTGTGGCATGTTACGGCATGTGGCCAATGCTCATCCGAAGGGCCAATGCTCAATTGCCAAATCCGCCAAGGGGCAAGCTGCCAAACGGGGCAGTTCACCACGATTCAGGGCCCATTTGGTCTCCTGTCACAGTGAAATATGGTGAATCGGCCACCCAAAAGATGTGGCGCAACTATGGCGCAATGCGGTTGAATCCTGACAAAACGGGTATGGGAAGGCAACAAACGACTTGGATCATCTTCTCATCCTCTGATTCAGCGTTACATAGCGTTGCGAAATGGAAGGCCATAATGACCCGCATCATCAATGATGCTTCTTCACCAAGAAAATCCCACAGGACAAACAAAAAACATCGGCCTAGTTTTCCTAAGCGCCAAACATTACCAGTCCAATGGTTGACCATTAACAATATCATGCAACTGCTGTAAGTGCTGGTACTGATAATGACATCATTGCATACAAAAGGGTTGTCTATACTTATACATCGTTATAATCACAAATCCAGTCATTGACAGGTTTCACAAAGTAGGTGTTGGGGACTTGGCCTCCCGCTGCTCCTGCATCTTCAAGGGTTGAAAGACCTTCTCGTTCAACACCTGATCCAACAGTCGTGTGGCCATGAGGATGGCCATTTTCATCATCATTACTATGTTTATTGTCAGTAGTACTATTCTTGCTGTAACAGTGATATAATGATGAAATCTGTTATTATACACAGTATCATTCTCATTACATCTCATTACAGTATAATAATTCTTATCATGATGGATCTTTCAGATTTAATTTCAATCGTCCATCAACTGGATGTTTCAAAGTTCAGCTTCTAGAGCTCGGAACAAACTCCCGCAACCAGGAACCGAAGGTTCTCCAACGGGTACAATCTTCCAAAATAAAAGGGGTTTGTGAGTTCAGGATATTTCAAGTTTAAGCAAGAATATCTCAAGTCACAAGTCTGGCAGGAAAAAAAATACTTTACTTCGTGTGATCCCTACCATGACATTTATACATTTTCTTACTGGCAAATCTTCTGGTTTTCTATCTGACATATCTTCTGGCATTCTATCTGGCATTCTATTTGGCATATCTTCTGGCAAATATCTGGCAAATCTTGTGGCATTCTATCTGACATTTTATCTGGCATTCTATCTGACATATCTCCTGGCATACCTTCTGGCATTCTATCTGGCATATCTTATGGCATATATTCTGACATATCTTCTGACATTCTATCTGGCATTCTATCTGGCATATCTTCTGGCATTCTATCTGGCATATCTTCTGGCATATGTTCTGGCATATCTTCTGGCATTCTTTCTGGCATATTATCTGGCAAATCTTCTGGGATTCTATCCGGCAAATCTTGTGGCATTCTATCTGACATTTTATCTGGCATTCTATCTGGCATACCTTCTGGCATTTTATCTGGCATCTCTTCTGGCATTCTATCTGGCATATCTCATGGCATTTTATCTGGCATATCTTCTGGCATTCTATCTGACATTCTATCTGGCATATCTTCTGGCATTCTATCTGGCCGTTGAGGTCCAGCGGTGCACACTGAGCTGGGCAGGTCCCAGGTTGAGGTCCAGCGGTGCACACTGAGCTGGGCAGGTCCCCGGTTGAGGTCCAGCGGTGCACACTGAGCTGGGCAGCTCGCAGGTTGAGGTCCAGCGGTGCACACTGAGCTGGGCAGCTCGCAGGTTGAGGTCCAGCAGTGCGCACTGAGCTGGGAAGTTGGCGAAGAGCTTGGCGACGAGTTGGCAAGGTTGGCAAGGCGGAAGTGGAGGTGGAAGAGGCGGAGGCGAGGAGGAGGGCGAGGAGGACAGCTAGTCGAGGAGGAGGAGGAAGAGGAGGAGGAAGAGGAGGAGGAAGAGGAGGAGGAAGAGGAGGAGGAAGAGGCGACGGGCATGCGCTCTGATAAAATCTAACAACCCTCACCTGGCAGGTGGGGAAAAACATCTTTATTCATCTTTGGTTCCCGCACCTTGTCAAGACTCTTCCCTCCGATCACTTCTAAAACCCGGCCGAGGACATCAAAGGAGAAGCCATAGATGTACTCATTCCTGAGATCGAGGGACGCCGCCAGGAGCCAAGGGAGGCTCTTGGGAGTTTGGAAACAGTCAGCTTGGCATGACAGTAGAACCCTGAAACAACCAAAGTGTTTAAATGTTCGCTATGGTTCGAAAATTGCTCAAATCATCCTCATGCTCCGAATATGTGCGCTGCCCAAACATGGGGCACGAAAGAACGCACAATATTGGCAATGTGACTACCAGTGTCCTACTGAACTGTGAGATTATGACACCTTCCACGCTTTCCAAGACGCCCCGGATGGTCGCACAAAGGAATCTTTGCCAGTGCACGAGTGAAGGCCGTTAATGATTTGATTTTCTTTCTTTGCCTAAGTAAACAAGCGTGAACATCTCCACTACAACATAGTGATGGTTAAGGAAGCTGAAATAATCGTAGTCTGTTTCAGCCATCTCCAGGAACGCTCGGTGGCGGCCAGAGAATGTTGCGCAACAGCTTACTGAAAAACGAGCCCAATGCATCCAACTTCCATTCAACTTCTATCTTCAAACTAAACGCTGCTTGGGGACACATCATGCTGCAAGTCCCAGTAAGCTTGGGTGATGTCATCTTCGATGGGTTCACCCACTTCTGGTGCATACCCAATTCCTGGCGAGATAGAACCGATAGAACTATATAATGATATGACGCGATAGTCAGTTTCAACAATTTTTTTGTACACGTATATATGTATACTGTATATGCAGATAAATATGTATATGTATATACATATGCAGATAGTCCTGCATTCATGCCTGGCTATGCAATTATATACCCTAGGGGTCCCTAGGGTAAACATACAAAAAAATGTTGAAAACCAATGGTTTCCCTACTTAAATGGTCTTAAAATGGTGGGTTCTCCACATCAAACTGTTGCTTTACAGGAGGGTAAAAGCAATGCTTTCTGTGTGCCAACCACGTCTGCGGTCCTGACAAGTGACACAACAAATGGCGCAGCAAGATCGGTCTTTTCGGTTCGACAAGTTCCTGCGTTTTCTCCTCGACAAATGGCGCTGCGTTTGAGTCGACCAAAAAAAATCCTTTTGAACTACCTGAGATATCATTTGATGCCCACAAGACTTCATACATCATCATAAATCTGTCTAAAATTAATCTATACATTAATGTTGTATGGGCATGATAATTATATAATACTAAATATATATATATATATCTATTGTATATATTTATATTGTAAATATTTACTATTATTTAACATTATATATACTATAAGTCTGGTTTTCAAGAGAGTGAGAGAGAGCGTTACACTTTTGTTTGACACCATCCACAATCACCATCAGCATGGTTCACAATGCCAAGGTTCCACTTTCACTTTCGTGGTTGCAAACTCCGGGATGTAATCCGAGAGACCTTAGAAACACGACGGGCCTCATCCAAACAAGGAGGTCTCCAAGCACCAGTGCACTTTCAAAGACATGCGGCTGTCATCATTGAACATGCTGATCTGGAAAGAATACATCAACAATGAGGCTTAGCATATGGAGGATTTCAACAAGCATGACTTGATGGATATGGATGGACTGTCTTGCTAAGTGGCGATCATCTAAAGTGGCACGGCCCTCTTCAACAAACCTGCCGGGGGGGGAAGAGTGAGAAATGCTGAAACAAAAAATGAAACAAAGTCGACACCCGCTACCGGAGCAGACTGCGAGCCTCATCACTGCAGTGGCGATGAAGGGCTTCGTTGCCTCTAAGATCATGAAATACATCATGAAACATCAAAGGTTTCATGGGATTCATGAAACTTGATTAACATGTGTCCAATCTATAGAAGCCTGTCACAACTTGATGCCAATCATTTGAAAGTCCATTGGACATGTTTCCAGTTGACAGTTGCCAAGCCGCGCAATACATCCGGCAAAAGGTATTGAAGGTGAAGGGAGTGCTATGTTCCACATCAGCCATTCCCATGGCAAATGCCTGAACAACCTGGCAGGTCGTGAAAATGTGGCATCATTTTGGATAGATCTGTCATTTTTTGGGTCATAATCATAATCCCACTTAATATCCCATACCCTCAACAATACCATATACAAAACCCATAACTCCCGAATACAATATGTGTTTGTTGATATGTTCTTTCTTGGGTCATAATCAATCATAATCCAAAATTCAGATAGGCAGGGCCAGGGCTAGATCATATAGCCATATAATGTATTATATATATACATAGATAGCCAGTGTTAAAAATACCATAAATACAATATAATATAAAATATAATATAATACATAATATAATATAATATAATATAATATATAATATAATATAATATAATTTATAATATAATATAATTTATAATATAATATAATATATAATATAATATAATATAATTTATAATATAATATAATATAATATACAATATAATATAATATAATTTATAATATTATATAATATAATATATATAATAAAATATAATATAATATAATATATAATATAATATAATATAAAATATAATATAGAATATAATATAATATAATATAATATATAATATAGTATAATATATAATATAATATATAATATAATATAATATAATTTATAATATAATATAATTTATAATATAATATAATATATAATATAATATAATATAATTTATAATATAATATACAATATAATATACAATATAATATAATATAATTTATAATATTATATAATATAATATATATAATAAAATATAATATAATATAATATATAATATAATATAATATAAAATATAATATAGAATATAATATAATATAATATATAATATAGTATAATATATAATATAATATATAATATAATATAATATAATATAATATATAATAGAGTATAATATGTAATATAATATAATATAATATAATATACAGTCAGTGCCAGAATTATAGAACGGAGCGAAGAGGACAAAAGTACGGTAAAATACCGTACCTTTGTCCTCTTCCGGGTTCGAACCTGGAGCGGAGTCGGAAAATTTAATTATAGAACGGGGAAGAGGACAAAGGTACGGTAAAATACCGTACCTTTGTCCTCCTGGCTCCGTTCTATAATTCCTGGCACTGACATAAAATGAGGATAAAATGAGGAAATGATGAGGAAATGATAATAAAACGCGGATAAAATGAGGATTTAATGGGGATTTGGTGAGGAAATGAGGATCAAATGCATATTTAATGAGGATTTAATGAGGATAGAACGACGAAAAAGGTTAGGAGTAAATTCAGATACATTTTTTTTCATACCTTCCGAGGAAAACAGAATTATAGAACAACAGGGTACGGTAAATAACCGTACCTTCGTACTCCTCAACTTCCGTTCTATAATTCTGTTTTCCCCCATTTTTCCCACATTTACCAGGTGATTTTCTCAGATTTCATGGTGATTTTATAGGAATTCATAGTGGTTTTATGGGATTTCATGGTGGTTTTATGGGATTTCACGGTGATTTTCTTAGATTTCATTGTGATTTTGTAGGATTTCTGGGACCCCGGAAGAGGTTCTATAATTCTATAATTAATTTTTCCGTTCTATAATTAATTTTTCCGTTCGACGGAAAAATTAATTATAGAACGGGGCCCGGGAAACATTAATTATAGAACGAAAATGGGAAATGTGAGAAAAATTGGGGACAACAGAATTATAGAACAACAGCGCTCCGACAAGAATTATAGAACGACGAAAAAGGTTAGGAGTAAATTCAGATACATTTTTTCTCATACCTTCCGAGGAAAACAGAATTATAGAACAACAGGGTACGGTAAATAACCGTACCTTCGTACTCCTCAACTTCCGTTCTATAATTCTGTTTTCCCCCATTTTTCCCACATTTACCAGGTGATTTTCTCAGATTTCATGGTGATTTTATAGGAATTCATAGTGGTTTTATGGGATTTCATGGTGATTTTATGGGATTTCACGGTGATTTTCTTAGATTTCATGGTGATTTTGTAGGATTTCTGGGACCCCGGAAGAGGTTCTATAATTCCATAATTAATTTGTCCGTTCTATAATTAATTTTTCCGTTCGACGGAAAAATTAATTATAGAACGGGGCCCGGGAAACATTAATTATAGAACGAAAATGGGAAATGTGAGAAAAATGGGGGAAAACAGAATTATAGAACAGCAGCGCTCCGACAAGAATTATAGAACGACGCAAAAAATTAAGAGGAAGATCAGATACATTTTTTTTTCACACCTTCCGAGGAAAACAGAATTATGGAACAACAGGGTACGGTAAATAACCGTACCTTCGTCCTCTTCAACTTCCGTTCTATAATTCCGGCACTGACCATAATATAATATAATATAATATATTATACATATATATACTTTTATATATAATGTTATATATCATATAGCAAGTGGTAGAAATTACCATTAAAAACACAATAAAAAAAACATTTATAAATCATAAATCCATTATAATCCCATGAATCTTCAGCCAATTCAGCCGTTTTTTTTCCCGCACGAAGCTGAATGATGTCCAAGGTTTTGAGCCATGGGCCACAATCCGCGAGGATGGACATCTTGTGACGATATCTGAAATGATGGGATATCTCTGATACATATATATATATATATTACGCGTGTATATGGTTAATAGATGTTAATAGTTAACAATAATTGTATATCCAATAATTTGCAATAGCAACATGCTCTTTATTATCGTAAATTTATTAATCGTGTTATCATGATTATCTTTCAGAATCGAAAGATCACGAAATATCTTCAAATGATGCACTTCAACCTGAAATAAGCTGAAACACTCTGATCATCCACAGCTCTATCGTCATAATGTGTCATAATATGTCATAATATATATTAATATGTCATCATGATGAAGGCCCATCCACATGGGCCTGACCACTGAGGCCACCCTGACAGTCTGTAACCATCTGTAACCTAAGGGCGCTGTGCCTGGAAAATGCGTAGCGTGCTTTCGGTGCTCAAGCTTCCCTCCAAGGGCGCTGCTTGGTGCCGCAGGGCCAAATCACGCGAAGACGTGTGTTGAGTGATCCATGAAAACCACGCTTCAGTGTATTAGATGCATTGGTCAGGCCTTAAAAAAAATGTTGTCTCAACATGTCTCAACCCTGGGGGCACAATGTCGACAATCTATCGCATTGGATTCACCGTGTCAGCTACGAGTGGCGACTTAGCGCCGTGCGCCAAAGCAAGTCCTTGACGTCTTCGGTATCTCTGACTGCGACGTGGTTATCGCAGTCAGCTGTACGGACATGGACCGACCGTAGCCGATCAACTGGACCATTCCCGGCACAGTGATAAATCAAAGGAGCAGGTCGCTATGGAATGTTATGAATAAATAGTACAATTCAATTGAACCAGGAAATGGATCCATGCGAATGTTCAAATACTTATATAGGACTTCGATGATCTCAACTGCTTTCGCAAGGATACTCGACGCAGGTGCCACATCAATTTGCATCTGAACATTCGGTAGACGTGAACGTCTTTGCCATGGCTCTGGGTCAAAATTGTTTGCCCTGGAATAGGACTCAAAATATTTCAAGATGCCCAGCCATTCTGTGGGGTCCAGGAGTCTTCAATTTTGACTCATAACCACTGCCCCGATACAGATGATCTGCTTCATCTATAGCGAGTTCAAACATTCGATCAACAATGATCAACGGTGAAGGTGGCTCGGCTGTGTTGCCAAACCAATCCCTCCATGGAAACTCAAAGAGGATCCTGTGCTTCTGCAATTGACATTGTTGCCTGAACATTTCTATAAAAAGGTGGACAAAATCACGATGAAAGAACCACAACGAAGGCTTTACTTAAATGTCAACCTTGGATTAGTTAACCCCTGGGTTGTTTAATTGGTGGAAGGGGGCACCATTTTAGGAGCAAATTGTCGATATTTGGGGATTATCATGGGGTATCCTTGACTAATCAACCAGGGATCTCAAATCTGCTTTGACTGGCACGATGGCATTCTTCGCAACCCCGATGCCCTCGGACCATGTTTTTTGAACAAATACCCAGGTTATCCCGAGTTTGCAAAAAACATAATGAAACTGCACATGATCCAAAGGATCCAACATCACAGTAGTAACTCACTGTGACCGTGCTATAGTTTATTTGTGTGAGCAATCTTTCAAATGTCTAAAATTATTACGATCGTTGGGCGGGGCTTCGGCCGCCGCTGCTCACACCACTGTGTCAAACCAACAGGCATGGGTCAAAATTGCCAAAAGTGGGCACAACCTGCAGCAGAATTGGATCTCTCATCCAATTTGGTTTATATAAATTTACTACTAATTACCAAACAAAATTTGGACCCACACCGGATACCCTGGATGGTTGGATTGGGAAAGTTGTTGCTTCTTGGATTGGCCAAATGCCCCCAGTTGAATAAATCCAATCATCCTTCTACAAGAGACGGAGGGCAGCATGACCTTCCAGGGGTGGCCACTGAATGTTGGGATACGTTTAGATCGGCGGATATTAGCCCGCGGGTCATTCAAAACAAACTAAACCAATCCGAACCCCAACAATTTTCTCAAACTTGGTTCGGGTTGATATCTCTTGATATGAAGTTGATCTACCTCTACCTACAAGTGGTTACACAGTCATGGTTCACCATTCCTGCCCAGTCCCACTTCCCAATTTTTTGCATACCTCAGCGCCATTTGGGCAAGGCCACATCTGCCATCTCCTGGAAGGCACACAGAGAACATGCATTGATCAAAACCCCCCTCTGACTACAAGAACATGTAACAGCTTAGGACCCTCTAGTTCAAAACATGTAGAATTAATACAATAAGATCATTAATTATTAATAAAATTTTGATATCCCTACGGGCTCCTACTACATGAAGTGAAAACCTAGGTAACTATTTTCTTCTGCGCTGGCACCTATAGGGGGGGCGAAATATATTTCTTGGGGTCAACCTGCTTAATGGGCCGGCAGCATCACACAACTTAGCCATCAACGCGCTGCAGCATCTGTTTCCGGACACGGACCTTTTGCATCCTTCTGCAAATCCTGTTCCAACTTCTTTTGAGAAATTTGACGTCAAACACAGTCAAGATCTGCCAGAACGTACCCAACATTATCCAACAATGAAGCTGCCATCACAAATTGATGACCGAAGCACATGCCCACAGCTTCGCACTTGAGATCAACGCATCGCACACCCAGCGAAAGTTGATCTCCCACATTAGTGCACTGTTGGCCTGTGGGCGGTGCTTGTGACATCCAATTTAGCTGCAGGAAGAGCTCAAGCGCCCTCTATAGCGTGACTCTATACCGCACCTCTGGAGCGCCGAAGCCTGTGAAATCTGCTACCTGATTTCTCCAGAAAAATGCGGGAAAAAACATAATTCATCAGAGTCAGACCAGGCACAGATGGGTGCATTATCATGATAGTCGAGGTACCATTTTGCCATTGAGCCAGACGCTGCATTGCTCGAACTTCATTGCAATACTCATCCTAGCCAGCATATTCCAGGAGATCGGGCCTGGAAACTTGAAAGAGAAGTCGAGAGACAAACCGCTTGGACGTCTTCCGCTCTGGCGCATGATTGTGAAAATCCAAATCAATGAGTACCAGTCGTTGATTGTCCAAAACCAAAAGAAAGCTGCAAGCTCGCTTGAGAATGTCCAACACGAAGAATTTCGGGAGGATATCGTACTCCGTACTGGGCAGAGAGCTTGAAGTTCGTGAGGGTTGAGCTGTATTATACACATGTCTGACATGAGATCACTGTAAAGGTCTATATACTCGTGTACGACTTCGAAGTCGTGCTGTCACATATAGGGAACTTGAAGCCGAAAAAAAGATGGTGTCTCACTGCATGACAGTCAAGTGACAGACTGCTCTCTGCGTCTGATGGTTCCTCATGGCCATCCTCATCAATGATATGATTGTCTTGCGCAAAATGAGCATGGCCAATTAATGACAGGTGGTGGAGGGTCATGCGCTCGAGCTTCATGTACAGAAGCGAGACATCATCCCCATCTGCTTGGCGAGGTGAGCGACTGCGTGGACTTCTGGCTCTTGCAACGGCACCTGAAGCATCGCTATCATCATCTCGCATGAGCCGAAGTGGGTCATGTGATGAGCGTCGCTTGCAAGGGTCGTACATGAATTACAACCGATGCACCATCTGGTAAAATCACCGAATCCTTGTAGAAGGCGGTGCCAAGCCTGATCAGGGACTTCCGCATTTTCCAGGCTGTCGACAGGATCGACTTGTGACAAACTGAATCTGGCTATCCCCTGGATGGCTACGCTTAGAAGTGCGTGGTACACTGCAGAGAATAGAACAGCTCTTTCATGATGCTGGGGTTCCTGGACAAGAATCGGTGGCTCTGGTAAGACGACGTGATAGCTGACATCCTCCCCGCCAAGCATTCTGAATGGTGTCTGTCCGCTCCAAGAAATTCCCTCCCAGGCGCACAGAACGAGGTCGGCGACATTCTCGGTGATCTTGTCCAGGGATGTACCAGCTCGAGATATTCATGGTTTGCTCTTGTGTCTCTGGGTGTGTATCACCAAACTGGTCAAAGTCCTGAATGTGTGGTCAGTGGTGGCTGTCTCGCAATGCCATGGTTGGGAAGGTGTTTCTGATGTGTGGTATGATACTCAGCTCGATGTTGCCGTGCTTGAGGAGCTCGAAGTGCCCAAGGTTTGTCAATCCATTCACGCAGATCTCTCTCACGCATGATAAAGGAGACAACAGTGCCAATCTCATCCCCTTTCAAAGATGCAAAGATTCACCGAACAGGAGACCGTCTTGCCTGACAAAGGTCGGCCTATAGTTTCAGACAAGTACACGATATCGATGCAATCTGGGAGGTCGAGGCACAAATTGAAGGACACCTGAAAGCAGGTATGTGAAAATCGAAGTGCAAAATCAGCTGGATCACCAGGTGGAGGGTGATCACACTGAGCTGCCATGATGTATGCTTGATGAAACGCCATGACGGGATGAATACATCGCTTGGTCTTGAGGTATGCAACGAAATGTAGTGGTATGTAGTGGTAGAAGTGGTTAGATGTGGTTAGCCTGATTCACGGCATGCTGCGCCACCGAGAAGTTGATGCAGGCCTCAGCCGCAATCTCCGCATCTTCTACATGAGGCCCATGAAAGCTTTTCCGCAGACAGACTCCTTCACTACCAAAAATCATGGACCAAGGTGGTTCCAAGGAGAGTTGTCGCTTGGAGGAGCGACCAGGTGCATCGTTCTCGTCGTCCAATGCAATCTCAACAGGGGGTACTGCACCCGTCTGCCCACCATCGTCTGAAGAAGAGTATTGGCTTGGCCTCGCAGATAGATTGCTGTCTGCGGCATCCTGTGCTGGGCTCTCTGCTCCGTCGTCTCCTTCCTCGATCGAGGTCTCTGTGTGACTGGCTTCGCAGCAGCCCGCAGCGTTCACCCTTTCTCTTGCTTTGTGATAGACTTGTTTCTCCAAAGTCTCCATGAACTTTTTGAGATGGCCAGCATGCTTCTCATCTCGATGTTTCTTGCGGGCATCTTTTGGTTTCTGGAACATCTGACGTGATTGACCAAGAACATTGGTAGTTCGAAGCATCTCGACTGCGAGGTTCTTGGAAGCTTGCACACCTACCTTTTGGATTGCTCCATTGCGTGTCTGTGGCATCTCGTCCGGATTATAAGCTTCTTGTAGATGCTGCGCAAGGAAAATCCCGTTGGCCGTGGCCGATGTCGATGCAGGTGCTGTTGTAGTTTCTTTCGGAGGTTGTACTGGAGCCAATGATGCTTGAAGAGATGTTGTAGCATAGGACGGCGTCGCATCTTCTGCATTCTTCTTCCTGCGCCTGGGCCGATTCTTGGTCACTTTGCGAGATGATTCCTTCTCCTCCCCCCACGGCCAGTTCCATGTTTCGTCCTCCTTGGTGCTTCGTCGAGGCGTCTGCGCTCGAGGTGTCTGAGGTCTTGAGTCTTAAAATTGACTTGGATTCTGGAGGTGCGTAGGTCGGATCCATGAACTTGTCACTGCGCGCAATGAACATGGGATGGCCACCCCCCAGCATCTGGCACATCTCGAACCGGCCGCCATTGCTTCTCGAGATTGGACGAGGATATGACGCAAGTGGGCGATGTGTTGCTGATCCGCTGAATGATGTGAGGAGAAAATGCTGTAGTAGATGAGCTGCTTGCTGGTCAAATGGAATACGCCACGTCGATGGAGCTAAAGGCTAAAGGTTTGGACGAATCGTTGCTCTTCTCCTCCGCGGTCGTTGCTGTGAGGTAGGGGAATTCGTCGCAGCAATGGTCCAAGAAGAGACACTTGGCACAGAAGCCAAATGACCATACAGCTTATAAATTGGCTGTAGGAAGCCACCCACTGAAAAACAGCTATCGGGAACTGCAAACTCAGCAGAATAAGGCGGTCACCACACCAGTGCGAGAGCACAACCGCAGCCGGGAGTTTATTGGCTCCGGGACGCCAATCCAAATCCAGCCACACGGGGGTCGAAGCCAAGAGTCAATGGGAAAGAACAGGCCGGGGCCATGGACAGGATGTAGGAGGCTCGCACCAAAAAGCCCGCGGCGCTGCTATGGCACCGCTATAAAGTTCGTACGTTCGGGGGGCGCCCTGTGTCACTGCAACACCTTTCAGCCAAACCTGACAATTTGTAATATATATATATATATACATATGATATGACATACATATAGATCCATAAGATCCATATTTAAAAAAAAAACATATTGACGAATTAGATTAGCATTTTTTTCTACAAAGTCTATGTGATTCATTGAGATAGGCACATATTCTATGGGAAGTCATTTAGGTGTAGAAACATTGATGGCGGTTTTACCTCATCTAAAAAATAAAGAGGTTGAATTTGGCTGGATGAGCCACACCGCAGAGGTATTGGGAGCAGATTGTGGATCCCTAAAAATCCCTGTATAGGCATTAATTAATTATTATTGATCTTACAAGCCGGAAAGAGGTCCATGATTTGCACAGGTCAATCTGGTGGTCCTTTCGCCGCCGCACATTTTCCGTCAGCGCGCAGGATCAAATTCTAGAAGTACTGTCGGCGATCAGGGCTCGCCGTTCGGGGAACGGTACCGCTCACCGCTGGTACAGCCGGCACTTGAGCGACCAGCACGGGGGTTCCTATCACACCGGGAACAGCCGTTGTTGGCACAGCTGTTGGCACGGCCGCCATCTTGGCGCGGACCGTGCGGAATCCAGGGGAACTGGAGCGCATGGCACCGGTTTGATGCTGATATGGTGCAGCTGGGGCCATGCCTGAACCACCTCGGATGTCTGCAGGAATCATCTGGTCAGCGCTCCAGGACGGTAAGGGCATGGAAGCCCGAGCGCCCTTGGCAAAGGGGAGCTGCAGATCTGTGAAGATGCAATAGATACAAACCGTCTTCAACACCCTTTTGATGCACCTTGAAGACAAGAATTACTCAACCTTAAGAATTGACCCCAAGAAACTCATCAGCAATAACATGCATTGAGGGACCGGATAACCCCACATGTCAACTTCTTCCAATAAGCACCAAACAAATGTGAACATGAGAAGGGAAAGGCGGAAACGATACAGGATATGCTGCACGACAGATTGTGTTTGTGTGTGTGACGGGGAAAGGTTGTGCGTGACAGTGCTGATGTGAAAGAGTCGTGTGTGAAAGGCTGTGTGTGAAAGAGTTTTGTGTAAAAGAGCTTTGTGTAAAAACTTTGTGTGTAAAAGAACCGTGTATGTGTGTGTGACAGTTTGCGTGTGAAAGAGCTGCGTGTGAAATTTTATGTGTGAAAGAGTTGTGTGTGTGTGAAAACGATGCAGGTGACAATGACGTGTGTTACATATTGGTGACAAAGCTGCGTGTGAAGGAGGTGTGTGTGTGTGAAAATGTTGAGTGTTGAAGCGTATGTGTGAAAGAGGTGTATGTAAAAGAGTCGTTCGTGGAAGTTTGTGTGTGTGTGTGTGTGCAAGCTTGTGTGTGAAAGAAATGCGTGTGACGTGTGTGACAAAGTTGCGTGTGAAAGAGTTGTTTGTGTAAAAAAGTTATGAGTGAAAGAGTTGTGTGTGGAAATTTGTGTGTTCAAGTTTGTGTGTGAAAGTGTTCTGTGTGAAAGAGTTGTGGGTGACGTGGAGGCGGCGGACAGACGCAGGCGGGATCCCACAACAGAAAAACAAGAACTCCACACAATGATGTGGGGAATTACCTATCTTGAAACAAATCGTATGCAGCACGTGATAAAACAATGTGTTGTAATATGCAGAGATGCCGCATCTACAATACAAGTACATATTTGGTACATAACATATATATATATATATATATAAAGTTTATAAAATTAAATAAAGGTACATATGATTATCTATCTATCTATCTGTCTATCTGTCTATCTATCTAATCTATCTAATCTATCTAACCTATCTAACCTATCTAATCTATCTAATCTATCTAATCTATCTAATCTACCTAATCTATCTAATCTATCTAATCTATCTAATCTATCTAATCTATCTAATCTATCTCATCTATCTAATCTATCTAATCTATCTCATCTATCTAATCTATCTCATCTATCTAATCTATCTAATCTATCTAACCTATCTAATCTTTCTAATCTATCTAATCTATCTAATCTATCTAATCTATCTAATCTATCTAATCTATCTAATCTATCTAATCTATCTAATCTTTCTAATCTATCTAATCTATCTATCTATCTAATCTATCTAATCTATCTAATCTATCTAATCTATCTATCTATCTATCTGTCTATCTATCTATCTATCTATCTATTTATCTATCTATCTATCTATCTATCGACCTACCTACCTACCTATCTATCTATCTATCTATCTATCTATCTCTCTCTCTGTGTGCATATGCAGTCACATCCGAAAATGACACACACACACATATGTATGTATATATATATATATATTATATATATATATTGATACAGTATGTAGTATGTTCTTTTGAATTTTGAATTTTGAATTGCATGATGATCAAATATCTCCGGCCTTTAACGTAGCCAAGCTTCGGGCACAAACATCTCCTCAGCCAACTCGGCATTCTTCTCACGCAAGGAGTCGTTGCGTTCCTTCAGCTGCTGCATCACAGCGAGGGCCTGGAGGTAGCCTTCCTGTGACACAGTGCCTGGGCCATTGGTGAACTGAACCAACAATGGATCCATAGGTTGGATTCGGTTGGATGGAGATATGTGGGATATATGGAGATAGTTGCTGATGAACGGGGCTGACAGACCTTGAAATGTTGCAAACCTTTGTTTCTTTATACCAAGACTTTCAGAAACATGGAGAATTTATCCTGGACAAATTCTCTCACAATAGGTTTGTCATCACAAGTCTCAAGACTGCAAACAAACACACACACAAGTTGATCCCGGCTGGTGGCTTAAGAACGGAGTTTGGGGATTGTGGAACAATGTGCAACTAAACAAATACAGTACAATCATGATCAATCATGTACAATGTACAATCTAACAATCTACATCCAGGAGGTGTTGGCATGGTGCCGCATGCGGCTCAATTCCTAGCTTCCAAAAGCATCCAAAATTCGTAAACCTATTTGGGTTGTCGGAAAATGCCGTGCTGCAAAATCCACTGGTTGATCAACATGTGCCCCCATGGCTATATATGCATTTTCATGACCAATTTGGCCACCAGCATCCACTTGTGCCGTGCCGCCAGGGTACCGTCCTTCAGCTGCTGTTGCAGTTGCTCCGGCAGATCGGAGCCAGATTTGGCTCCCGAGTGGAAGGAGGCCGTATCTGAAGTCACCTCGCTTTTGACCCAATTCTTCTAATTTAAGGATTCCTCCTATCTTCTGATAGTCATTAATGTTCCTCAGCTTAAATTTCTTGGAAACCTTGAAGCAAAAACAATATCATAAAGCTAAGGAGTGTCTCAAGAAATCACACCCAATGTGTTAAAACAAAGCCATGTCATGGATATCATGGGCCGGGGCAACACATCATCGCCTTCATCAAACCCAGGCACTTCATCTCCGGGTAGAGCTTGATCTACTGTTTCGCCCACCTTTTGCACACAACTGCCTCGTGCGTGCACCCGGGTGGGTGGGTTATGAAGCTCGCTGCCAGCTACAGAATAGGCAGAAAGCATGGGGCAGCCCATCTAGTGTGGCCTGGGAGCCCCCTGCAGGGATGTTCTTTGCATCATTTTGCATCATATTCTGGTCTCAAATCCCTTTGGGATCATGTTGAAGAATCCGTTGAAAAGGTGAAATCTGTTGAAAATCTGAACCTTGGCAAAGCAAGAAAGATAGAAGGAGGTCTCAAACCTTCAAAAACCTGCATGCCGGTGAGCCAATCATCCGGCTCAACTTCCGCAAAAAAAACAATCAGTTTCCATGACTTCTCTGAAATTCCCAGCATTTCTTTAATCCTATTTTGCACCCAGTTGCTGATGTTTTCCCGCAATTCCGGTGGGAACAATGCCCGTCTCCGCGCCGATTCCAGGCCCGGCAGGCCCGTGGCTGCGATGCTGGGACGGTCCGTTTGGACCAACAGGCGGCGTTTCACCGCTTCGACGTCCGAGCGAAGGGTTTGAACATCATGGGACTCGCGGCTCAGCTTGATGGTGTCCTGGGATGGTGAAGACTTGCTAAGATTGGCCATGATGATAAGACGGAGCGGGATGGGCATGAAGTAGCACATACAAATGAGATTTATGGCCATGAATCTGGGAGACAATGCCAAAACACATATCCATCTTTGGCTGGTTGTAGCTGGTTAGTAGGGTTTCAACAAAGATTTAATTCTATTACCATTTCTAACCCAACACGGACGGGAAGAATCCAACGTGGAACTGCAACTGCAAGGGCATGAGCTGAATGTAAGCCGACAACTTGGGTCCGATGACACAATCAACATCAGTGCTGATACCCTGAAGCAACAAACATTGGATAAATCACAACCACCTTTGAGACACTCATACTGTGGACGATTGTGGATGTAATCATAAGATATCGGGCCTTTGAAGATGGGAATCTGGGGAATCTGGAAGATTCTGCAAGCTTAGAACCGACAAATCAGCTGGAGGACAAGTCACCTACTGTAGCTATACAAAATGCTGTTAATATAAAACATGCAAAATGGACCTGGAACAACCAAGGTTGTCTGGCAAGGGATCCCTCAAATGTAGATTTGAAACGTTATTAAGATTCGGAGTTTCAAAATTTTCCACATGTGAGTACAGGTCACAGGGGTGGCTGAGATCCCCGAATGAATCCCCAAGCAGTACGTGTATTTTACTCCCCCGCGCCCATTGCGCACAGGTTCTGCTTCCACAGAATCCAAACGTGCGAAGATTGACGCTGCATCAAAGTCGATTTTGCGCATCTGCGTTTCCAAATCATGACAGCGTTTGTTCACTTCATTGCTCAGGGCCTTGATCCTGGGTGCAACAAAAAATGCGGAGTCTGCGCCAGGGGACGCAACAACCAGGGTAAGAAAACATGTTCGCTGCAACCCTGACATTGCGCCGCGTCTGACTTCAGGTGGCTATGAAGATAAAGTTGATGTTACTACCCCAATCAACATATTGTTCATAGGGGGTGGCGAATTTTAATCCCTTATGAAGATAAAATTGATGTTATTACCCCAATCAACATGTTGTTCATAGGGGGTGGCGAATTTTGATCCCTCATGAAGATAAAGTTGGTGTTTACCCCAATCAACATATTGTTCATAGGGGGTGGCGAATTTTGATCCCTCAGCAGATTGTTCATAGGGTGTGGCGAATTTTGATCCCTCATGCAGATAAAGTTGATGTTATTATATACCCCAGTCAACATATTGTTCAGAGGGGGTGGCAAATTTTAATGTGATGATGATCATGATGACCATGATGTGATGATGTGAAAATGTGATGATGATGATGATGATGATCAAAAATCTGCCAACTCCTCTGACAAATATGGTGACTGGATTAATTACATCAACTTATCCTCATAAGGGATGAAAATTTACACCACCCACTCTAGCAAGTATTTCGAACGGGGTAGTAGCATCAACGTATCTTCACAAGGGATCAAAAATCAACAACCCCTCTGACAAATATGCTGACTGGGTTGACACCATCAACTTATCGCCATGAGGGGTCAGAAGTCTCACCCCTCTGACAAATATGTTGAACGGGGTAATAACATCAGTTTATCTTCAAAAGGGATCAACAATCCACCACTGCCTCTGACAAATATGCTGGCCGGGGGAATGTTGACTGGGGTAACAACATCAACTGATAAATATATATAATATAAATAGTGTAGTATACCGATTGTCCTGGGACTCTATTGTGAGACAAATTTCAAAAATAATTGAATATGTTTTTTCTCAGATCCATTTTTTTCAGGAGGAGCTTTATCCACCTTTACACACCTTTCTTTGGGTAAAGCTGGTCCTTTTACTTTAATTAGAAAGCCATATCCATGTAAAGCCTTGAAAACGCAAAGTTTTCCAAATAATTCGATGCCTTATTAAACACTTATTTAAAAACAGCACCCAAACAATTTTTCAAGGGGGTACCCCATGAGTGACCCAGATCCTCAATAATGTAACTGTTTCGATGGTACCCTATTGTGCACAAAAACTTTTGGGGCCATGTTTTTTTGATTAAAAGGAAAATCAATTGAAAGTAGATTGATGTCAATTAAAAAAGAAACAAAAATCGATTTATTGAGTATCGTAAAATTGTTGAAGATGGGGGGCCACACTAATCAGTATCCAACATTAAGCACATAGAAAAATCAATAATTAATAAAAACAAATAAGAAAAAACAAATAAGTAAATAAAAAAATAAAAAAATAAGTAAATAAAATAAAAATAAAAACAAATAAGTAAATAAATAATAAATAAATAAATGAATAAATGAATAAATGAATAAATAAATTAAAAATAATTTTATAACGGGAAAACGCGTTTGGTCGCCCCAATGCAGTCGAACACGAACATTATTATGGGGCTTGTGAAACGTGCGCAACTTCTGCGAAACATGCGCAACTTCTGTGAAGCGTGCACAACTGCTGGGAAATGTGCAACATGCACAAATATATATATATATTATTTATATGTTTATTTATGTATATAGAATACTTGAAAACACTGGGTGGGGGAGGCGAAACACGTTATTCCAATAAATAAATAAATGCAATAAATAAATAAATAACTAAATAAATAAATAAATATATATATATATACACATACGTATATTTGCAAATACATGTGCAGTTTCAAGATGTTTCAAGTAGATATACATATACATTTACATAAACATTTGCATATATAACATAGACCCGGGCAAGCCGGCGGCGGAAGTTTCCCAAACATAAATGACCTATAGTTCAAAGACAACCTGTCCCGACCGTGTCCTTCCCTCGACACTCCACACCTCACACTGCACACTGCACTCTTCGCACTCCAAACTTCACACTCCACACTTCACACTCCACACTTCTCACTTCTCACTTCTCACTGCTTCCTTCCCACTCCAAACCTCACACTTCACACTTCACACTGCACACTTCACACTTCACAGTCCACACTTCACACTTCACAATTCACAGTCCACACTTCACACTTCACACTTCACAGTCCACACTTCTCACTTCGCACTTCACACTTCACACTTCACACTCCACTTCACACTTCTCGCTTCTCACTGCTCCTTCACACTCCAAACTTCACACTTCTCACTTCGCACTTCACACTCCACACTTCACACTTCACAGTCCACACTTCACACTTCTCACTTCTCACTGCTTCCTTCCCACTCCAAACTTCACACTCCAAACTTCACACTTCACACTTCTCACTTCGCACTTCACACTCCACACTTCACTCACACTTCACACTTCACAGTCCACACTTCACACTTCACACTGCGCTCTTCGCACTCCACACTGCACAGTCCACACTTCACACTTCTCACTTCACACTTCTCACTTCTCACTGCTTCCTTCACACTCCAAACTTCACACTTCTCACTTCGCACTTCACACTCCTCCACTTCTCACGCTTTCCTTCACACTCCACACTTCACAGTCCACACTTCACACTTCTCACTTCTCACTGCTTCCTTCCCACTCCAAACTTCACACTCCAAACTTCACACTTCACACTTCTCACTTCGCACTTCACACTTCTCACTGCTTCCTTCACACTCCAAACTTCTCACTTCGCACTTCACACTCCACACTTCTCACTTCTCACTGCTGCCTTCACACTCCAAACCTCACACTTCACACTTCACACTCACTCTTCGCACTCCAAACTTAAACTTCACACTCCACACTTCACACTTCTCACTTCCCACTGCTTCCTTCACACTGCACACTTCACACTGCACTCTTCACGCCCCACACTTCACACTGCTCTAAACCTACGTGCAACCAAAAAACACTAGCGCCAAAATGGAGAAAATCTGCTAACAAATCCATGTCGCAGCCTTCATGCAGCCACTCCAATACGATTTACGAGATCGAGCTGCAAAAGACAATAGTATGACAAATGCAGCCACAGCACGAAGCAACCTTGACGCAGCCATTACAATGCGATCTGCAGAGACCGAGTTGCAAAACACAATAGAACTACGCGCAACGGCGTCAGAAATTGTAGCTCCAAAACCGGATCTCGACGCCAGAGCGAAAAAAAGACGATTTTGAAGCACTTTTTTAAAGGATTTTTAGAAGGAAAATCACTAGCGCCAAAATGGAGAAAATCTGCTAACAAATCCATTTCGCAGCCTTCATGCAGCCACTCCAAGACGATTTACGAGATCCAGCTGCAAAAGACATTACGCATGCAGCCAAAGCAAGAAGCAACCTTGACGCAGCCATTCCAATGCGATCTGCGGAGACTGAGTTGCAAAGCACAAGAGAACTACGCGCAATGGCATCGGAAATTGTAGCTCCAAAACCGGATCTCGACGCCAGAGCGAAAAAAAGACGATTTTGAAGCACTTTTGAAAAGGATTTTTAGAAGGAAAATCACTAGCGCCAAAGTGGAGAAAATCTGCTGACAAATCACTGTGGCAGCCTTCATGCAGCCACTCCAATACGATTTACGAAGTCCAGCTGCAAAAGACAATAGTATTACCAATGCAGCCACAGCACGAAGCAACCTTGACGCAGCCATTACAATGCGATCTGCAGAGACTGAGTTGCAAAACACAACAGAACTACGCGCAACGGCGTCGGAAATTGTAGCT